GCATCCTGTTTGAAATCTCTTTCAAATAGTTTTGTTACTCATAAGTTATATATCAATACACCTTTGTAATCCATTAATACTTTTAGTATTGCTACTAACAAGAAGATTTGATAAGATCAATTCTTCCATTCCTACAAAACTCTTTTGTAATACTTTTCTTTCAGTATCATTTATCCATGAATAATAGAATATCCATTTATACACCTTCTGAAGGTTTTTCCAAGTACAAAACTTGTTCCTTGCAAATGGACTTCACATTGGACTTAAATGGTTTGAGTAATACTTATCTTAGCTGGGCAGCATTACTGATTTCTCGTACTGTGTTGATTTTATCTTCTTTTAAGACGAAATACTCAGTAAATTCAATAATCTTCCTGACCTTTGCATTTTGTTACATACACTACATCTAATGTAGTAGTTTCTTTGCTTAATTTTATAACAAAAATATTTCAGAATATTTCTGGTTTAGTCTTGTTATAACTTTAAGCCAGAGATTAGTTATCTCAATAAGTTGTATCATCATGTATCTTAGCTACATCTAATGTAGCCGTTTCTTTGCTTAGTTTGAAAGAAGTTTAAAAGGAGAAAATGTTTTCTCAAAATGTCACGAGCTGGCATGAGATCGAGTTTGTGCGAACATTAAATCAAACAAATCGTACAGTTACAGACTTAGATGAAATATCACTAAATCCATCTAGCAAATTCGAAAGGAAAAAACTAGCTACACTCTCCTCTAGATACACAGTCGAACCAAAATAAAGAAAAAATAAAATAAAAAAAGACACATGACCCTCCATAAAAAGCTACAACCCACAAAATAACCTAATACACAAAACATAAAAACACTCACTAAAAAAGTCTTATTGTGCCTATTGCTTCACGAGGGATGAATATAAAAAAACGTCACAACGACAACAAGCACAATTCGAAAGCACACATATATATATAACAATATATGAATTAGATGGGACATTGTTAACTCTCATCTAGACGCGAATTAGCAAAACCAATCTGAAATGGAACCCCGTATCGCGCCGCGAAAACGGCCCAATAGAAGTAGGGCCGGTCCGGGGGGGCGAACGGGGCGGCCGCCCCGGGCCCCCAAAAGTCAGGGGGGGCTCCCAGGTATACGTACATGTCTTTGATGGAAAAAATCTCTCACCGCCTCACTCCGCGCCTCAGCCTCGCGTGCTAGCCTAGGAAAGTAAAACCAATATACTGTTGGGCCTGGCCCATGTTTGCACGTACGTGGCCAGGAGAGATCGGAGAGGAAAGGAATCGTTGGGTTGATTTCCTGTAACTTAGGAATTAGGATCGATCGTTCCCTGCCCTTTTCCTATTCCGTTGTTCCTCACGAACGAACGACGCGACTCACGCGAGTAGCCGAGTACGCGACGACTGCAGCAGCAGGATCTCTTCGAGTTCGACCTCGGCTGCGACTGCAGCAGGTATGTTTGGCCGCGCCCTCTTCCCTCGCATGATCTTCGTCCTATTTCTGTTCTTTCTAATCCTATTCCCAATTTCTCGACCGATCGGACAGATTAACAGGGAATCGTTTTTAGGCCGCTCGAATCATTGCGCCCACATTGCCAGATTAGATTACAGAGAGAAGGTACTATACCATGCCCTAGCAGATTCTTATTATATTATATGATCTTCTATACTTAATGTAATATTTTAATTAGCTTTGCATTAATTTTAAAGTGAATTGTTCCTTTCACTTTCCGTAGGGTCATGTCGAGTACGGGTAGAAAGTATCCATCCGGAAGTCATAAAAGAAAGAAGAAGGAGGAGGCAGATGAGGAGAAAGACGCATTGAGCGGATCTCTTTTTAAATATTATAAGAGCGATACGAGCATGCCAAGAAATCCAGACGAGTTGGCGATAGTTCTTGCGGGTGACCGAACTAATGGCAAATCAGAAGATGATGGCGATACGCCTACAGAAGGCAATGCCGACGTCAACATGGATGATACCAATGTGAGTGATCATGAGCCCATATTTAATTCATGTGCGGTAGAATATACTAGTGTTGATGAGGAACCAGTTAGTGTGGATATTTATGATCCAAGCAATTGGGGTAATCTTGATAACAAAGCGAGGGACATATTAGTGGAAAAGGGGCCTAAAAGGGAAGAAGAAAACACTAAATATCCTTTGGATGAAAATTTAAGACATTTTTCGTATAGCCATTACTCAAGAAAGATGAGCAATGGAGAGGTGCGTGATAGAAAATGGTTAGTGTTTTTAAAACACACAAAGAAAGTGTTCTGTTTTTGCTGTAAGCTTTTCAATTCTGATAAATGCAAGAGCGCAATGGGGAATGATGGGTTTTGTGATTGGAGCCATATTAATGAGAGACTGAAAGAGCACGAAGCTAGTGTCGACCATATTACCAATATGAACTCGTGGAATGAATTGAGAGTTAGACTGAGCAAGCATGAAACAATTGACAAAGATTTATAGCAACAAATCACAAAGGAGAAAGAACGCATAAGGCAAGTTTTGTTAAGAATTTTTGCCATTGTGAAATTTCTTGGTAAGCGCAATTTGGCTTTTAGAGGATCCAGTGAGCAACTTTATGATGATTGTAATGGAAATTTTTTAGCTTGTGTGGAGATGGTTGCAGAGTTTGATTTGGTAATGCAATATCATCTTAGGCGTATTCAAGATAAAGAGATCCATCACCATTATCTTAGCCATAAAATTCAAAACGAGTTGATTTCTCTTATGGCTAGTGACATTACAAATTCTATTCTCAAGATTGTCAAAGTGGCCAAATATTTCTCTGTTATCCTAGATTGTACCCCGGATGTGAGTCATCAAGAACAAATGAGTTTGTTGGTTCGATGTGTTCATATATATGATGGAAAAATACAAATTGTGGAGTACTTCCTTGCTTTTTTGGTAGTGGAGGACACATCTGGTTTGGGAATTTTCAAGGTATTGGTTGATTTTATGAAGTCCTTCTATCTTAATATTGATGATATTAGGGGCCAAGGTTATGACAATGGATCCAGCATGAAAGGAAAATACAAGGGGGTGCAAAGTCGGTTGCTTGAGGTAAATCCAAGAGCTTTGTATATGCGATGTGCTTGCCACAGTCTTAATCTTACCCTTTGTGATATGGCTAAATCTTGTGGTAGAGTTGTTTCTTTTTTTGGAATTGTGCAACGAATATATGTATTATTCAGTGGTTCTACGAAAAGATGGAAAGTTTTTGTTAGCCATGTGACAGATTTGACTGTGAAATCATTGAGCAATACTCGTTGGGAGAGTCGTATCAAAAGTGTTAAAGCAATTAGATTTCAAGCTCCTAACATAAGATCAGCTTTACTTGAGTTAAGTGAAGATAGTGGTACCGAATCCAAGGATAGGAGTGATGCGAAAAATTTGTTTAATGTGCTTGGCAGCTATGAGTTCATACTTGGCATGGTCATTTGGCATGACATTCTATTTGTTGTAGATTCAGTAAGCAGGAAGTTGCAATCACCATCCATGTGCATTGAGACTGCCTTAAAGCAAATAGATGGTATGAGGACTTATTTTGACACTTATAGAGAGGAAGGGTTTGATTCTAGTGTGATCATTGCCAAAAAAATCGCAGCTGAAATGGGTGTAGAGCCATCATTTCCAGTAAAGCGTCGTGTTTCTAGGAAGAAACAATTTGATGAAGATGACAATGATGAAGCGATATTGGAAGCTGAGAAGGATTTTAAAGTCAATTATTTTTTGATTATGGTTGATAAGGCGGCCACTTCACTGAAAATTAGATTTGACGAACTTGAGTCATTCAAAAATATATTTGGATTTTTAATGAGTTCAACGGCCTTGAAGTCATTGGACCGTTCTGAACTTAAAGACAGTTGTACAAAATTTGCAAGTGCTTTCTCTTCAGGTGGTTCATCTGATGTTGATTTAAATGATCTGATTTCTGAGTTAATTGTTATGCAGTCAACTTTGCCCGATAGAACAATGTCTGCTATGGAGATTTGAGTTTGCAAGGGAAGCAGATTGTTATCCAAATATTGCTATTGCATATCGGATTTTCTTTACTATGCCTGTTACTGTGGCATCGGCTGAAAGAAGTTTTTCGAAGTTGAAATTGTTGAAGAACTACTTGAGATCTACAATGTCGCAAGAGAGGTTAAATGGCTTGGCAACTTTATGCATCGAGAAAATTTTGGTTGATGAAATTGACATTGATACTATCGTTAGTGATTTTGCATCTCAGAACGTTAGAAGAAAATTTTGAAGGTAATATGTAATACATATTTGATATGCACAATCATTTTGGACGCTCTTAATTAGTTCTTTGATAGAAATTATATGTATATATGATGGTTATTAATTAGGCATTTATATTAAGGGCCCCGAAAGGCCTCGGATTGTAGTTTCGCCCCGGGCCCCCAAAATCTCAGGACCGGCCCTGAATAGAAGATTCACACGCGAGCAAGCCGAAAAGTAGACAGCAGACGGACGACGCAACACGGTGCGTGTGCAATAAAACAACCTACAATCAAGATTTGCACGACATTTCAAGCAAACAAATGGAAAAGGTGAAAAGAGTTCTTGACTTTAAAACAAATAAATAAAAAATAGAAAAAAGGGGGTCAAACCCAATTGCAAATTCCTTAGACCTTGCGTCACTCACTAATGGAAGAAGTTAATATTTATTTTTGAGGAACTAAGCGGAAGAGATTAACAGATAGCGTTACTAGACTGCCAAATAACATAAAGAAGTCCAGGTTTGCATGGTACTGGTATATAATATAATCATGAGAATAAAACTAGAGCCTGTATTTATCGATGAAGCTAGATATATATCCGTAGGAGCTTAATAATACTCTTTTTGCCAGTGAAGTTATTCTAGGCTTCTAGTACGTAGCTAGCTAGCATTGCAAATTTGTCATAGAAGGACGCGGGGACGATTATCTGGTCGTGTCCCGTACCGCTCATCTACATATAGACTCTAACCAACGTAACCTTCTTCAGTTGAGCTACAGGGCAGCGAACCAAGCACCCCCCACGTCGGCGTGCGCGCGGCCGTGGTCACTCTCACGCGCGGCGCCGGACACGAGGCTCACGACGGCCGGCGACAGCGGGGCCACGCAGAGGCCACGCCGGCGCAGGCCCGTCGCGGGCTCTTCTCCGGCATCCCGCGACGACGACGGCGGCGAGGAGGATCCGCTCTCTCCAGGGTAGGGCGCGGCCAGGATCTGCGGCAAGAGACAGGAAAAATGCACCGGTGAGACACTGCGTGTGACATGCAGAAATGACGAGACACTCAGGCGCCGGTTGACGATGCGGGTCTAGCGCGCGCAGTCACCTGGATTTGGTCGTGAAGGTTCCTGATGCAGGCGGCGGCCTCGTGGAGAACCGACGCGGTGTCCGTCTGCAACATGTGCATGGATCGATCGTGTTCAGGAGCGGCTTCAGTTCAGGCCACTTCATGGAGAGCGAGCCAAGAAAACTGTAGCATGCACATTTGTTTTACCTTGCCGTAGGGGGAGACCAGCTGCTGCAGCGCGGTGATCTTGTCCCCCAGCTTCTGGCTCCTCTTGCACGGCGCCTGCATGGATGCAACTGCTTTGTCAAAATCGTTTTGTTCCGTGCAGATGATCAAGCTAGTGTCACTTCGAGTGTACTACTATCTGACAGACACACGGCCCTGTTATGAATCCAGCAGATAAAAAAAGGGAGAAGGCAAACGCGACGTCACCTTGGCAGCTGCTGTAGTATTTCTTGGCTTTGCGCTGCTGCCCTGCAGCCGGCTGTCCGTCGTCGTTGTCTTGCGCCTCTTGGAGCCACTGAAGCTGCTTCCGTCACAGACCATCGTCTCGCTCTCGCCGCCTGCTGCCGTCCATCTCACAGGATGCTGACAGAAAAACAAACACCCCAACAGACGTAAACACCACATCACCTTCGGTTTTTGTATCTTCAGATCGATCGATCACGGGATTAGAAGATGGCAATGATAACAATAGAGTAAAGAGCAGTACGGTAGCAGCAGTAGGTGGCTGGGTCTGGGCGTAGCCGAAGTGCATGAACGCAGCAGGCCTGCCATCGCCGCCGTAGGCAGAACCGTCTCCCATTCCTAGGTTCATCGGCGAGCAGTGAGATCAGATCAGAAACAAGTGAGCAAAGAGAAAACCCCAACTGTATGTACACGAAGTAAATAAGGACGTACCGAAATAGCTCTCGGAGCTGCGCGTGGCGAAGAGAGCCGGCGCCGGAAGGCTCTGAAGCGACGACATGTGGTGGCAGAGATGGCCGTAGTCGGCGGCGAGCCTGCTTCTGCTCACGGGGAAGGGACAACTCCTTGAGACACTTGACGTGGGAAACTAGTGACATCGAGACCAAATGGTTTGACAACTTACATTCCGTCAAAACCCGCGGATCCGGGCGCCGAATTAGAGGACTCACATTTCACTGCAATTGAAATCAGAACATGATTTCAGAGGGATCATCGTAGAGAGTTGCGTGGCAGGGGGGACAGAAATGTACCGTAGTCGTCGCTGAAGGGCAGCAAGAGAGAGGACGGCGCAGAGCAGTTCCACATTGTAGTTGCGATCAGACCCGATCTACCAGCAGCTCACAGGATTTCATCACCTGGAACGGAAACGACGACACATTCAGTTCCGAAAAGAAGAGTCGAGACAAGAACCACACGGCACGAGAGATTCCAACTTTTTTGCTGGTGATCTACAGCTCGAGGACACGAACTTCCGGCAGAAAGGAGTAGCAATATGAACGACACGGTAATTCACCAGACAAAATATTAAAAAAAAAACTCGATTACAAGATTCAGAAACCGCACGAGAAGTGGAAGAGGAAGAAAGAAGAAAATTCAGAATCCACCACCACAACAAGATGAAGAAAACAGTAGTGGTAATAAACAACCTGCTCATCATCGTCGCTCAGCAATGCACAAGGAAAGGAAGAAGGATGAAACCGTAAGGCTCATGGGTAGAAGAAAAGAGAAGAGGAGAGAAGCCGCTCTGCTACAAGTTCAGTCCAACTACTCCGCTAGTTAAGTAGTAATCCGAGGTGCACCTATATAAAAATAAATGCGTGGGCTGTTTTTGCCTTCCCCTCTTCGTCTCCTGCCGTTTTCACTCTTCTCCTGGAATTGCAGTAGTAGTAGCACGTAGGTTGCCAAAATAAACACGTGAGAGAGAGAGGAGAGACGCCAAGGAAATCAAAGGAGCGCACGGGAAGACGGGATGGAGAAGGCCATTATACCTCATCATCCTTAAATAGCAGGGCCACCACCCCTCCCGTAAGTAAGGTGGTGTTTGGTTCTCTTGTCCTAAGACTTTTTCTAGTCCCAATTAAAAAGTCCCTAATGCCTAAAAAGTCTCTTTCTGTTTGTTTCCAGAGACTAAAAAGTCCCTGGTCCCTTTCTAGAGATTATTAAATGACCATGTTGCCCCCTAATATATAGAAAAATAACAATCACACAACACCATGGGATGGCGGACCAATGAGTGCATGGAGGGGCATTGTTGGAAAAGTTCCAAAAAGACTTTCTTTGAGAGTCTTCTTCATTTAGTCCCAAATGCCTAGTTTAGTCTCTAAAAAGTCTCCCCCTGGTAAAAAAGTAAAAAAATCTCTAAGAGGGACTTTTTCTAGTCCCTACACAAAAAAATCCCTGAAAACAAACACCCCCTAAATCCAAGCCCCGGCCATTCAAGCCACATACTAGTAGTAACATGCATTGACTTATTACACGCAGATGTCATTAGTACTGGCATGATGATTGGGTCAAGGCTGATCTGATCCAATCACCTGCTGCAAATGCGTTACCGGTTCTCTTGGTATTCTATCATCTACTGCTACCGGGCCAGCTTCGCGGCTTTGGCATTGGCAGTAGTACCATGTAGTGCTAGAAAACGAGATTTTTTTGGCGCAGGGCGCTTGTCCTGCCGTCGTGACGGCTGACGAGTGTCGGGACGCTGGTCCGTGTCCGGTTGACCGCTGCCCCAACTCCTCATCAAGAGTTGAGTTTCTTTATCGTGTCAGGGTCAGTTCGAGGCAGCGGCACAGTGTTTTTTATGGCGGCCGAGCTGATTGTTTAAGCTGCGTCCTGAGACCGAGCCGCGGGGCATGGCCGGCCGCCCCATTGTTTAAGCTGGGTCGCATCTCATCGCGTCGCGTTTCAGTTTGAGCTGAGCTGCGATGGCCTGGCTAACTTGTTTTCATGAGACAGACATCACAGCTCACTGTGCGCCAAAACAGCAGCCGATCGCAGCTTTCTTCGCGACAAGGTTGCTTGTGAAGTTTCCCTCAAAAAAAAAAAGAGGTTGCTTGTGAAGTTTCAACGGCTGGAATCAGCGGAGCGTCCAAGCAGAGCAGATCGATTGGAAGACAGACACAATCAGCTCGCTGTAAAAGAAAACTATCTAGGGCACCTCTAGATGTGCCCTGCTTATTGTACATCTAAGTGGCTCAATCAAGTTAGAAAGAAAAAGAAAAAATACAAAAAAAATATGGTTGCACAAATTTTGACGTAAAATCAATGAGATAGGGTTTGGATGTGCTTTAGCAAAACTGAAAAAAAAAACTTAATATTCATGAATGATATTATTACTGAACAAAGAATGTATTTTTTTCATTATATATAAAGGATGAGATCAATTCCGAAGCGGCTTTTCTTATTCTAGCAGACGGAATTTCTTTGGTCTAACTTAGGACTTTCCAATCTATTTTATTTTACCAAATTCTAACACCCTCCGGTCCAAATTAATTGTACAAGTTGTACTAACTGCATTTGTTAGCCAGAAACGAAATGTGAATGCCAATATCCGGCACTTTGTTTTGTTCGAAAACGCAGCCGCTCTATGCTGCCAAACATAGACAGGCGCTCGCTAAGTCCTCTCACGCCCAGACTCGAAATCCAGCGATTTTTCCTCAACACATGGTGGCGTGCACACAGACATCAATCTGTTGTGGAAGAAACGCAAACGCGCGGTTGCAGTGGCTAAAAAAGGATAGATCAGACTCAGCAAATAAGCGCACCAAGTCAAGAAGTTGACGCCTGCGACCTGCCGTTTCTAAGACAAAGTCGGAAAGAAGAGACTACTACTCCCTCTGCAAAATAATACTATAAGAGCGTTTAGATCACTACTTACAGAGAGAATAGAACCCAAGCCTTTTTTGCCCCAAATGGTAACTGGTGGCCAAATTTCACCACTTTATTTCAACTCAGACGCCGTTTCACCTCAAGTTTTCCGGTGCGGGATTTCCGACCATTTCCCCTCGCCTGCTTTAGCAAGTTATAAGAATTTCTCAACAACAAAATAGGCAAGTTAAGAAGCAATCGCTTTCACCCGTGCCGTCTTTCTAGTCTAGAATAGTTCCTGCTGACGAGTCCACATCTGTGCCTAAGCCCTTGGCCCCCTCCTCTATCTGCAGCAGATCAGACGGCAACTGTTTTCACCAAGCTATGATTTGTTGCAACATAAAAGAATGGAGAACGAAATTTGACTCGGTTTGTGGTTATCAGAGAGGATCAATTCATCGCATCAGAAAACAAGTCACATCGAAGCAGTCTCGGTTGTTTGGAGCTACCAATTAAGCAACAAAGCTCAAGGCTTAGAGTAGTGATTTTGCAGTGCAGACACATGCCCCAAATTGACCAGGCCGACTGTGGTATCAACCACTTCAGGCTTAACCTACTGCAAAGCTCTCTTATTCTATGCACATAACATGTAAGCAGAAGAGGGCAAACGAGCCCAGTGTCGTGATTCGAATCATCGAAATCTTGTGCCTAGAAAGCTTGCATTTGGCCGATACTACTGGGAGAATCAGGAATCATCTACGTGGCAGGTAAACCCAGTGTTCGTTCAACCAGAAAAATATGCTACATTTCATAACGCTGGAAGAGCCTCCATACACAGTTATGGAAGCAGGATGGCACCCGCAAGGTATGGGTACGGGTGGAGCTACCCCATACCCTTACCCGTCCGCCGTGAGTTTACCCATCACCCATACCCATACCCGTCAAGGGTACAAATTTTTCCCGTACCCGGCACCCGACAGGGTATATGGGTACCCGCGGGTAAAAATACCCGCGTTTACAACACATCAATTGAGTAGAAAATAGTTGTAAAAAGCAACATATAATCATAAATTATTAATAGCAACACATCTTAAACAACAATGTACAACAACATATTGTAACAACAACATATTCTCATAAACAAAAGTACTTGCATATAAAGTGACATATAAAAATGTTAAACAACAACACATAATCATAAATAACAACACATGCATACACTTTAAGTTCACGAAATCATGATAAATTATAGAAATAATTTGAATACACGTTAGAGTTTTTACCTAGTGTGCTTAGAAGGGGAAATGAATACATTGGGATATTAACGGAAACCCACCTATCAACATTTTAGATGGGTACATGGGTACGTGGGTATGGGTTATACGATCCCATACCCGTACCCTCTCTACCCGATGGGTATGATATTTTCCCATTTAAGTACCCATGGGTAATTTTTTGTTTCATACCCTTACCCTAATAGAGTTTTTATCCACAGGATACATGGGTAATGGGTACCCATTGCCATCCCTAGAAGCAGGTGGGCGACCAGCGGAAACAAGGCAAGAGACAACCGACTCAGAGATTCAGGTAGATTATACCTTGCCAGTACAGATCATTACACCAAACTAAAACAGCCAGGATGACGTAACGCGTACATCTCATTTAACTACAAGGTGACAGACATGAAAAATGATGCAGAGATAGATGGCAAAAATAGGAAGAACAAAGCGTGAAGGCTAACCCATTTGACTTCACATGGATAGTCCAAAGTGCAACCGGGGCGCCCAAGCTACACAAGATAAAGACATAAGACTGAAGTCACCGCAGAGAAAATCATTGCGTGCAGGCTAACCCATTTGAAATGCAGGCGGCATCTAAATGAAGCAAATCATCAAACTTGGAAGAAGCCATATAGATAGACAGCTAATCATAGACGAAAGTGACTCGAAACAATAACCTTTATGCATTACGGCAGCAAACACAGATTTGGAAGATGCAAGGTAACTAAATGTAGAATAAAGCTCCACGATTGATATGTCAGATAAGATACTCGATTTGCAAAGCTCTTAGTTATAGTTAAGAGAATCTCGACTCTTATGCAAGGACATCCTTGTTGTCGATTTTTGGTGACGGAACGAAACTGAAAGCACGAATAGTCAAATGATAGGAGTTCAGGTGTCTCCGTCAAGGATAGACTAAATTACCAAAGCCCTATATGACCAATAATAACAATCAGCACCTCCTATCATAAATATCAGGCCCTTCATAACTAGAATGGATTCAGAAATAGTTCACTGAAAGAGGGAGTAAAAAGAATTTGGTTACGTGTCCAAGGCCCCCAATGATTTGAAAATGTTATCACTTAGCAGCATATTTTCATGACCAGTACTATGAAGGAGTGAGATGCGTGTCTATTTGATTTTCAGCACAAGCTTGTAAAACATTTGTGTCTATCTAAATCTTGATTGAAGATTTATTAAACTCTTCACTAAAAGTCAAACATTACAGAAGCCGTGGCCTGTGGGCAACAATTTCGTTCATTTAAGTATAGCCCTCCAACAAGATATGCATGTAGAACACTTCAACATCTCTGGAAGCAAAACACAGCCAGCAGTCAGAAAAGGGTGCATATATCTTCAGGCTTTCGGGAAACGCGGCAAAACCTTTGAGGTTTAGAAGATTAAGTATAGCCCTCCCACAAGATAAGGATCAGAAAGGGTGCATATATCTCAGACTTTAAGAAAGTCAAACATTACAGAAGCTCTGGACAACAAATATAATTTAGTTAAATTTAATATATCTGTACATAAGTATAGCCCCCCCACAAGATAAGGGTCAGAAAGGGACTTTGTCACTAAACCTTACACTAGCAAGTAACAACTGAAGTTGTAACTCCAAAAATCGAGAAGCACAAGTGCAGGACAATTCAGTAAGACCAACACAATATGAACATTGTCACTACTATAGAGTTTTGAACATTCAAGAGGATTTAAGGGCCAACCAACAATGCAGCTCTAGAAACCATCTAAAGATCACTGATAATGAAACGAAGCAGCAATGAGATGATGAAATGCAGCCCAAATCCATTATTCTTATTCAGGCTTTAGGCAAGAAAAACAAACAATCCTACTGAGTTTTCTTGGGGAATGATCACCAGTACAATTACATAGTCGGAAAAATCCAAAGGTCGAATCAGGGGATTAAGAAATAATTCTGGCCCATCTTCATCAATTGTGTTCAAGGTTTGTATCAGAATAGGTCACTAAGAGGAAGTTCAGTTTGAATCACACCAAAGTGGACAACAACTAAACAGTGTTTCACCTAAGTGGTCTACCTATGTTTGATCTCTTTGCCCTTTCCCCATAAATACATTATTACATCTAAGAGAGTAGATTAAAGGTGCTCCTCGCTCTTCTAGGTTTAGGCATAATTACCCGGTGGTACTAATCACTACAATTTCACCGCTAACATAAGTGATAAAAGTTCCAATGCACTTACAGGCTTGCAGCAGTATAACAAGTAAACAAGAGGATGTGAAGTAAGTATGAACAAATATAGACAAGTAATTAGCAGAGGCTTATGTGTTATCTCCAATTTGTATCCTGGTAGGTTCATACGAGGAGAAAAAAATGGAGGTAACTCAAGAAACAGCACATATTTGCAGTATTGAATAAAAATTCCATCCCAAAATCCAGTGGGCACATTGTATATATCATGCCAAAAGTGAATTACAGAGCCTTTCTCCTTAGATCAAAAGAGACCGCTTAAACAAGCATTAGAGGAAAAAAGATTAAACTTTATTGGCTCTGCCCCTGGTATTGATGCATTCACTTCGTGCAGCCCGGTGGAACTGCTAGAAAGGATTACCTTGCAGGCGCTGCTGCAGGGGCATTTACGACGTTCCTGCGCACCACCCTGGGGCCTCCGCCATTGCCATTCAAATTCAAGCCATTGGCACTGTCCCCATCACCCACAATCAAATCCCGAAGGCCCGAGGTGAGGTCCTTCTCTCTCTTCTCCTTCTCCTTCTGCTTGGCCCTGGCAGCGGCGGCAGCGAGCGGCTCGAAGTGGTTCCCGTAGATGTACTCGGCGGAGTAGCCGTCCTCGTCGTCAAAGAGCATGACGTGGCCGTGCCACTCCCACACGCGGTACTCCCCACCGGCCTCGTCGTGGAAGCCGACGCACACGTGGTGGTCGCCGACGGCGACGGACTGGCCCGAGTTGGGCTTAAGGGCGTCCCCGTCGCCGGCGAGCACCATCCGGACGATCTCCTTCTCCAGCTTGGCCTCCTCCCGCGAGAGCATCCGGCGCCGCCTGGCCTCCCCGGAGGCCTCCCCGTCGGAGAGGCCGCCGTCCTCCCCTTCTTCGTCGTCGTCGTCGTCGTCGTAGGACTCGCCCGCCGCGGCGGAGAGCGCGGCGAACTCGTTGAGGAGGAAGTCGTCGAGGTCCTGGGTGAGGAAGGAGTTGGTGTCGAGGAAGGGCGGGCGGAGCTGGACGCGGTTCATCAGGTTCTGGAGGAAGAGCGCGTCGACCGGCGCCGCGGAGGGGGCGGCGGCGGAGGGGCGGGGCGGCTGCGGCGCGGTAGGGGCCATGGGCGCGGAGGCGTGGTAGGGTTTTGGGTTTGGGGGCGCGTGGGCGTGGGCGTGGGCTTGTGTTGTGTGGATGCAGACCTGCAGATAGGCGAAGGGAACGATCGGAGAGAGGTGGTTGGATGTGAGAGACCGGGAGATATTTTTCTCGTGGGACTGCAGGAGATGGGCTTCATCAGGTTGGGCCTTACTTTTTCACTTATGCGGGCTGTACCCCTAAAAAAACTTTATGCGGGCTTGCAGGTAGTAGTTCATTCCCGCCGCCATGGCTATTTCTCGTGTAAATTAGTGTAGATGCAGGAGTATCATCAGACCGGAACGTGTGTGTACGGCAGCTTGTGTGTGTCGAGCTCGTGATGGAACTTTTCAGGGCTCATCTATGCTGGTCATTCAAGGCATGACAGGCAGAGAGGGGATGTCCCTGACGCAAGATCTTGAAATGGATCACCTTCAAATCTCTTTACATTGTAAACAGGTGGTACCACCACAAGAGAGATCTTACATCTCCCTTTAGGGAGGCATCTGTGGTTGGGCATCTCACATGACCCAATTGTAATTTCTATAGACATTTTAGCTAATCAATAAAGGCATAGCAAGCTTTTCTCAAAACAAAAAATCACGCTAGGGCTATTTCTCGCCGGTTTTTCCGGGTGTTTTTCTTTAGGTTTCTTCCGACCTGGATTTTACACGGGTTTATTTCTTTTTGTTTTATTTTTTTATTTTCAAATACATGCACTTTTTCTAAGTTTTAAAACTTTTTCAAATTTGTTAATTTTTCTCAAATCTGTAAAAATCAAGTTTGCGTACCTTTTCAAATTCGTCAACTTTTTGCTTTACATGTGTTTCTAAATTACGAAGTTTTTTCTGAATGTTGTCAAATTTTTGAATTTTTTGTGAAATTTTATTCAAATCCACGAGTTTTTTTCTCAAATTCATGAACTTGTTGGAAATTTCATGATTCGTTTCCAATTATCATTTTTTTTAAATTCATAAACTTTTGTTCATTTTTTTCTAATTACGAACTCCAAGTCTTGAACATTTTTTGATAATTCATGAAATTTTGTCAAATCTTTTTGTGATTTTTTTTTCAAATTCACAAGTTTTTCATTTTTGCAACCTTTTCAAATTACGAACTTTCCAAATCTTGGAATCATGTCAATTTTGTGAAAAAAAAAAGAAAAATCATGAATTTTTTCATAAGTCAATGGTAAACTTTCCTTGTCAACTATCAATAGTCACCGATCGGTCGACACCCGAAGGGCGTTGGTCCATTAGTTTAAAGAAACTACCACGGAGCCTGACATTTCATCCATGATTTATGCACGACGGCCAATCAAACAGATGTGTTGCACTTTCTATCAAGATTGGATGGCTTGATGTGCACCATCGTGCATGGATCGTGATAAAAGCGTCGTGTGCATAGCAATGTTCTTAGTTTAACGATATAAAAATGTGTTGCTGGGATGTTACGTTAGCTCATGCCAAAGGCGCTAATTAGGATGTCTTTGTGACTTGGTGAGGCGAGGAACCCCTCCCTTGCCATGAAGCTTAGGAGACAGAGCCTAATCCACAATTCACATTCTTACTCTTCGCGCTCACATCAAGATTAGAAGTCTGGAATGGAAAAACCATATTTGACCCTCTCTACGTCAAAGGGTCGACTAATTGTATAGGCGCGACCAATTAGGTCGGCCCATCACCCACTGTACATATAGCCTCGCAATTCCGGTTTTGAGAACTTTCTTCCAAGCCAGTTTTTATCGGTTTTGGGAACCTTCTAAAAGATCCCTGAACCGGTATTTTTTTTGTTTTGTTTTTTCGCTGTTTATTTATATTGTTTCTGAAAATTGTTTGGAGTTCCATAAAATGTTTGCCTTTAAAAAATCAGAATTAAAAAAACGTATTGAAACAAAATCACAAATTAAAACAATATTTGTGTTTAGCAAAAATTGATCGAGAATTTAACAGATGTTACCTTCTCATTTCTTGTTCACAAATTTTTAAAATATTATTGTTTTCTGAAAAAATGTCCATTAACTTTAAAAGGTGTAAGTATTTTAAAAAATGTTGCATGTTTGCAAAAAATTCTTTGCTCTCTCAGAAACATTAGATTTTCAATAATTGTCCATTGATTCAAAAAATGTTTGTGGTTTCAAATTTTTTTTGCAGATTCAAAAAATGTTAGAATTTTCATTTTTTTCGGAGTTTCAGAAAATGTTCAGGTTTGACAATCCGAATTTCTAAAAGTATGCACATTTTCAAAAAAAATCACAAATTCAAAAAATGTTAAAGTTTTAAAAAAATGTTTGAACATTTTGTAACTTCCATGTTTCAAAAACAATCCACTTTCTGAAGAAAAAAATCACAACTGAAATTTTAGAAAATGTTTGATGTAATGCTGTTGAAAAATCTTAATACCCCGCACCTATTAACCAACAAAGTTGTTCATGTTCAGGTCAGCTTGTTAGCTGCGCGCTCGTATGTGAGGTCGTGTGTTCAAACACGAGTGAGCATGATGTGTTCTGGAATTTTGCACAGTGTGCTCCCCCTTTAGGGTCAGCCGAGTTTGCTGCTTCGTTGTGTGTCATGCGACAATTCTCCACAAAATGCGACACATTGGAGCTCCCGTCTACAATTTAAGAACTAAAAATTTGATTTTAAAACTTTGACTTAGAACAAAAGATAGATATACACTTATTCATGGACGGAGGGAGTAAATCCATATATCAAACATCACTCGTCCTTACAAATACAGAAAAAACAAAAATACATTCAAATTCATGGGATGCTGAAGTCTTCTTTCTCATGTATCCACTGGCAGTTCACCATGAGCATAGCTCGATGCCACCTGTGGGCCTCCTCCTCGAAGCTTGTAGAAGTAGCAGCCAGGAAGTCATCGATGCAGATCAGGAAACGCCGGCGGCTGTGATCTGGGAAGCAAATCGCCATCCTAGAAAAGAAAACACAGATAATGAAATGTAGAAATTCCAAAGACAATGAAAGCCAGTCGGTTCCAGTTGGATACACCAGAAAACTAAACTAACCTGATTTCGAATTTTGGCAGCATCAATGCAGTGTTGATGGAAAGCAACCAAGCGAAGATCTTGGCGTTCTATGAAGTTAAGACAAGAGGACGCGACACTTCCTTTGGGTGAGAGGCTGCAACCGATGCAAGGTGATCACAATCATATGAACACGTGACATAGTTTAGATTCTCAGACAACCAAAATTTTAGCAGCATCAATGCAATGTTGATGGAAAGCAACCGAGCAAAGATCTTGACGTTCTAAGAAGTTAAGACAGAAGGACACGACACTTCCTTTGGGCGAGAAACGAGGGTGACACCATAGGTCTGCAACCGATGCAAAATGAACACATGACATAGCTCAGATTTCCAAACACCCGAATTTTAGGTAGCATAGATGCAATGTTGGGGAAAGTTGTGAGAGTGGGTGACAACGAGGTAACTCTTCTAAACCGAAGTAAAAAAACATGATTTTTAGGGACGGAAGTATTCATTACCCACGCAATCAAATACCAAGATTTTAGATCATCGCATATTTTTTTTGGAGAAACTATGTTGGCAAACTAGGCCTGAGACTAGCCACAATGTGAGTAACTTCCGCAGTAACTTCAAGCCCAACTCAGCAAATTTGTCTATGTGACAATGAGTTAATGAAGACAGGTAGTTATAGTAACTTAGCTAGTTACTATAACATCACATGTCCCAATACAATATTAGTCTATAACCTAATAAATGAAGCTTTGCATGTGACCACACCTATGTTAGTACCCACTATGAAGGTAGTAACATAGTCTAAGAATATATGTATGTTACTAGTGTATGTTACTCTTCACTGTGGCTAAGGCTGGTCATAGTGGAAAGTAACTTAGACTAGTGTCATGCATGTAACTTAGACTAGTGTCATGCATATGACACTAGTCTAAGTTACTACCTTCATAAGACTAGCCACAATGAAGAGTAACATACACGTATTCCTAGACCATGTTACTACCTTCATAGTGGGTGGTAACATAAGTGTGGTAACATGCATAGCTTCATTTATTAGGTTATAGACTCATATTCCATTGGGACATGTGATGTTACAGTAACTAGCTAAGTTACTACTACTACCTCTCTCCTCATTAACTCATTGCCACATAAGCAAATTTGCTGAGTTGAACTCGATGTTACTGTTAAAGTTACTTTCACTGTGGCTAGTCTAATGCAAAGTAACATAATAGTAGTATCATAGATGGCTTCATTTATTAGCTCGCAGACTCATCTTGTTTTGAAAAGCGTTATGTTACAGTAACATATTATGTTTCCACCTCTCATTAATTACTTGACACATAAGCAAAATTTTCTCGAAATGCGCTATGTTACTAGCTAAGTTACTCCCACTATGACTAGCCTAATCTGAAGCTGTATGTACTCACTTCAATCAAAATTAATTGACACAGTTTTAGTACAATTTAGATTTGGTTCGGAGGGAGTAACTCTACTTTCCTCCATGTTATGAGATGCAAGG